CAGAGATCTTTATGAATTAATTTGGGTAAAAATACCACTGTGTATACATATATCTAGTTTACTTAATAAAATCTCTTAAAAACTAGATGTAGGTACAACAAAAACACAATCTCTTAAGTCTCAACTTATGAAGAAAGGCACGTGAAGTCTGGCAGTTTGTAAACAGACTTCGTGTAGGTATAACCCTACAACCATATCAAAGGTCACTCACGTGTGTGTGTAATTAGGTCCGGGTGTGTATAATCTTGGAAGGCTAAATAAACAATCAACCATTATTGGTGGAACTGGCTAAACGTTCCATTGAAATGGTCTCTTTTTAGTTTTATTGGCCACCATTCTGTCTAGACCTTGGAGCTAAAGATTTCAGAGAGTGAGATTTAAAGCTGTAATTGCAGGAAATAGACGTGTTGCCATAACAGTTTACATACAATAAACGTTATAGTATCATTAGATAGATGTAAAATGAAATGTTCAAGGTAAAATACGTCGTCTGGCTTGGAAATATATACGCAGTTAAATGAAAAAAATATATATACAGATATAAAACATCATATAGTAAGAGCAGTGAATGGTTTATGAATGCAGTAAAATCCACAAGGTGCAATGTGTGGCATCGATATAAAATATGAGTATGATTATATTAATATATTTATGTGATATGAACATACCACCTTTTGTTGTTGCAAAAATGCATATAATAACTTGTTTTTAAAGCAAAGTACTTTTTTTTAAGTATTACACTCAAAGGAAAAATGACAATTTATTATTTTATTATTTCCCTTCTACGTGACTTTACCGAAAGAACCAAGAATACTCAAAGGAGTGGTGATCGTATTGATTTTAATTGCAGAATTTTAAAATTCAACTTTATCTTAACTTAAATTCAATACGTACAATATTGAGACGTGCGCCTGGTAAAATACTGTACATCTAATTTTATGCTTTTATGCTGCATATTTGTTTAAGGAAAGCGACCATTATTAATGTACACTTTCTAAACAGGTTGTTAACCAAAGGTGACACTTGTTAGTTATCGTGCAATACCTGGACATGGACAACACGTATTACTGGTACATTGCCATTGCACTCTTTTTCATAATCAGTGTGTAATTGAACTTTTCTAGATAGGAACAAGTTCTCACCGAAACGGAATCCGAGAAAATAATTAACATCGCTTTACACACAGGATAGGGCACAATTATAGTATGTTCACACTGCCCTGTGATCCCGGCGACTTTAAATAAATAAAAAATTGCCATGGCTAAGATCAGTGGCACGTGATAACTGAACCGGTCCTACACCCCTTCTTCACCAACCCGCCACTGACTGACATGGTGAATTATGGTCAAACAATCCTCACGATCGAGATGGCATCGGGAGTCATCCATTCACCAGTGGATTGATATACCCAATGGAAATGATATATAATGCGACCTTTGAAGAGGCCCCCTTTTGTATAAGGGTCCACTTTGAATGTGAAACCAAATGGAACACTGGTATGTCGCTGTACAAATTTGGTCATTATTACATATAAACATTGCACACGCGCAATTAGTTTCAAGCAGCACACCAAATCCATCAACAGTTCCTGAAGAAGTGCATTGCAGTCTTGTATTAAATCACTTTTAAAATAATGTTCAGTAAATGAGATCGGCTGATAGCAGCAGCAGTGACACAGAGCTAGACAACTGTAAACCGGTTTGTTCCACTTCAGGGTGGCCCAGATGTCTTGTACACCCCCCACCCCCAAATTTCATTCTCTAAAACGTAATATGTTTTCTTAAGTAAGGTTTATTTAAAACATAAATTAATATGCAGAGGAAAAGACATGCTAGGGGACCAATTAATTGGGGTCACAATACATCTGGGACACCCTGTACTATTTACTAAATCTGAATGCTTTGCACGCGTTTCTCTGTTGTTTAAAACGTTTGCTTTTCTGGTCTGCACTTTCATTCCGTTATGATAATTTTTCTCCTCGTAATTTCTAGATTTAATCGAACATATAACAATGTGCACATTTCATTTCAGTGCCATTTTATTTTGTGTTAGTTTCTGACCTCGGAGATGGAATGAAATACAAATTGCTTGACATAATTGCATTACAATTGCACACATTCCCCGACGACCATTAGCAAACACTGATCTTCAAGTATGGCAAGAATAAAAATAATGTGACAGCTGGTTCTGTCCAGTTCTGTTGGATTAATCCAGGCCCATGCACCGTTGTCCTTAAAAAAGCACACACGCATACATGCCTGTCTGCCTGTTTCTGACCAATCATTGCACAACCAAAACTTGTTTGGCATACTTTTAGAAGCATGAGATGCATGCCCCGAATTATAGCTCAGCATTCAACTAAATACCATGCGTCCGCAATGCAGTTACACGGTCAGTTTTTAGCATCATAAAAAATAATAATGAGATGGAAATAAATAAAAACATTCTACTTAATGCGATTGTACCACAAAAATGTCCTACTTTAAAATATTTTAACACAACTCATTGTAAATACAACACGCCGAATCACACGGACATCGAAAGGCACGCCAGAAACACTTAAACAGTGCCTGTATATAATCACGATACTTGCGTCAAATGTCATGCCCCAATCAATGTGTTTCCTTATTCGTGCACTGCAGTTTGTAACGAGTTCATATTACCCTTGCAGCCACGACTGCTCATCACAACGTAACAATAATTAATGGTTTTCTTTAATTGCATGGCAAAAAATTATTGGAATCACTGGGAGATAGAACGTTCCACCCCTACTCAGTGTCTGGCTTTTGGGGGGGGGGGGGGGGGGGACAGAGCTTTGTGACGTCATATTTGAGGGGGGGTCTGACTTTTTGTGACGCCGTGTGACGAAGGGGGGAGGGGTCAAAAATCGTACAAAATCGCGTGACGTCATTTATGGACAGCCCCGAAGTCCATGCTGCATTACAAACTAAACTTGTGTTGCAGCCCCATCTATTGGCTGTTTTAATAAACAATAGGGCTTTTCGACACTAACCGCATTCAGGGGCCGTGTGCTTGACATGTGAACTCACCCAGTTGACGGTAGCAAGGTTACAATCTATTTCCTCGACTTAAACATTCAAGTGGTTGTTTGTTCCTTTACATTAGAACATTTATTGAATCGTGAGCGGCATTGCCGTAGTAAGGGAACGTGTGGCAGCTACACATACATGAATGCTGTATTCCTTTGAACACTCTACACGGTGGGCTGTAAAATCCTAAACACCCTTGTGTTGAAAGCTTTTATGACATAGACGTTAAGAACTATCGCAACTTCTCATCCACCTCGTAGAATACTTTTGGCTATTAAGTAGGCATGCGATCATCCATTATTCCTCAATTGTAAATACTCTAATATATTTTAATCAACTCTAAAGACACTTGTACTAACATTAACAACAGTATAGGCCTGTTGCAGCAATATATTCCATTATCATCATCATATTCAGATGCGTTTTATTCATTGCTGGATGTCACCATCACCATCCGTCAGTTTTGTGATTCACCTCACTCCTGCACAGGAGTTTATCTCATCGCTCCATCTCTGCGCTGGTCTTTCAGAACTCGGGCATGATCCCTATTTTGTATGTCATTCCGTTGCCAGTCTTGTCCGTTTGTTACAATCTCTTTCGGCGATAGATTCCTGCCCAAACTCACTTGTTTTTTTATCAATGTAATGTACCTAATCTCTGATACATCTACTCCTCTTTATATCTCTCATCATATTTAACCACACACACACAAAGGTGTGCATTGCATTTACAAAAGCTCTCGGAAACATCCAGACTACCAGCTCAAATGAACTGAATCTGTGGCCATGTTCTCATTTATACCCCCGACTCAAAGAGTTGAGAGATTTGGTCATTCCGACGGGCAGCAGTAAAATAAAGACACAGGTGTACACTGCTTTTGTCCTCATTAAGACTCATCAGTATAGTGTATTCCTCAATGTTTACTGCTGGCATATTAATATGGGAGCTCATATATGGAGGGGACTAACCATATTGGTATAATGATTCTAAAAATACAATTCCAAAAGCACTCAGTTCTGCTTTTAATTTCAGAATTTTTATCCTGGACCCAACTCAATAATGCTATTTACTCAGCAAAGCTTAATTAAACATTTTCATGAGGGTCCGGCATTGGAATACTTTAATTGGTCAATTAATTTTGACAGTGTGTTTTGAATGAGAGAAAAGCACAATGCCGAGAGAACACTTACATACATGAAGGGATAACACTCGAAGGTTTGCAAGAGACACGTTCATAAACCCACTTGCTCTTCCTGGCTACCTTGCATCCCAGCTAGTTTAAGAGTTTAACACGTCTTCAACCCTTGCCTCCAAAGCACATCGATCACAATTGGTCACCGTCAAATCCACACACACAACACATCTTGCACATTTTTTGTGTATTTTACCATTTTATCGAAATATCTCTGCTCTCTTTGCAGATGAAAGGTGACTCAATGGTCCTTATCTACTTTTAAAGTTAGTTCCGATCGTGAGGAAAGCGAAGCGACTTGGCGAGGACAGGGTTAACACGTTGATTAAACAACAATAACGCCAATAAAATGACGCGAAAGGTCACGCCGCACCAGACCACCCCGAGAAATCTTAACAAATCAGGACGGCTTTTCTGAGAAAATATTAAAACCAGCCAAAAATGTGGGTGGCTCGAATAAAAGAAAAAAAAACATCTCGAGGATTACATTTCACCACAAATTCCTCACATTCTGATCGGTAGCCTTCTCAGTATTACTCTGCTGAGATTATCGATGCTTGCACTGTAGGTGTTTGGGTTTAACGAGTGGTCGCCAAAAGCCACCAAGCGATGGGTTTTGAGGACTCGGGCGCACGGCGGGAGGGCGAGCGTCTTGGACCGTGCAATTCGTTGCCTGGGCCACACGTAACACAATGCAGGGGGGGCGTCAGTGGTGAAAGCTTATTTGGGGTTGTCACTCTCAACCGCGCTACTTCGAATGCATCGGGCGTGCGTGCTCAAGTTGGCCGCCCCCCTACCTCTCGCTCGCAACACCACCACCGCCGTCAGCTGTGGTTCACAAGGCAGGCGTGCGCGTAAAGGCGAGACGTCTTCGAAACTCTTGGATATTAAGTCTCTCGAGGTAAGGGGATTTTTTTTTATATGTGAGAATAGTTCTAGTATTTACACCCCCCCCCCCATCTATTTAACGTAGTTTCGTATTTTTTCACGTGTGTGTTTTGTTTGATGGCTAAAGCTTACAACATTGCGTGCAGCACAAAGGATGATTTTTTGTATGTGCTTGTGAAAGGGATTTAGTTGATCGTGTGAACGTAATCATTGATGGTATTTGGCGAACTGCATGCACGAAGGTAAGACGTACGTGGCTTTATTAACTTGTCAGTATTGTATAATGATAGGCTGAGATTGCCAAAGACCAGTAAACATGATCTACGCAACAGCTTACCAAAGTGTGTACAACGCTTGATGGGAGCATTCTGACAACAGGTGCAATTGTAATAATAAGTGAGTTCAACTTGTAACGTGCACGTGGGTATAATGTAAATATAAATCGTGTTATGTCATTTGCAGCGCCTTTTGACAATTCACTGCTGGATGAGGGCCCACCCGCGCCATGCGGATCGTTGATGTTGATTGAACATAACTGACCATCCTGGAAGTGTGGGATGGCAATTTACGTTATATCATAAGGTAAACATTTACTTTCACACGTAATTTAATCTGCAAGGCAAACTAACATGTTTTCGTTTAGCAATTTTTCTGACATATTTAAATGTATAAATTGTATATTTAACTTTGTTGATTGCAGCGGTTTTCAGAGGATTGTATGTCGTAATTCAGCACAAGGTATTTTTTTTCCATTTTCTTGGTGGTATGCATTCTATAGTAACCACAAGCAATGAAATTAAGCATTAATTACGTGTTACATGTTTTGTATTACATCCACAGTAATATAACTATGAACATGATATAATAATTCAAGTGTCTGGAAAAAACAAGTTAACCCATCTCTGTGTCTTCATCAGCATAATATTAATAATGATGCACAGCTCTAGCACATATTATCCTTCTGTTAACAAACACAATGATCCATTATACAACAGTATTAACAACAACAAAATCTATTCACAAATACGTTTGCTCAGACAATGAGTGGTATTTACAATGCCCCGAAGGTTGCCTTGGCAAGATTTGTTGTCATTTTCCACAGCTGCGGGTGGTAATGCGTGCATTCCAAAAAAACGGAGCACAGGGAAAGTGAATAGTTACAAAAAATCCAAAGGTCCTCCATTCGCCCCCCTGGACTCTGAGGCTCACTGTAACCAAGGGCTTGCGTTTCACACACTAGGAGACTTTCTTCTATTAAAGATCCAAAAGTTATTATCTTGACATGTTTGGCACGACATCTAACCAACTCAACTGGCTCGAATTTTGGCAGTGAGCACAATGTCTGTTTGGGAAAGTTTTTTTTTTGTGCAATGCGTTTAATGTGTATATTGTTGAACATGTTACACATGCACACCTGGTGCTGCGGTGGAAGGCACGGTAGTCAATCCAACAATAGATTAACTTTAACAATTGGGATTGTCAATCATGCCACGAGCTGCCTACACTGGACCAAAGAGATGTGGGACAGTGTCAAAGCATGGGTGGCTGCTCCCGTGTAGCTGTGTGTTTACCTTACAAATATATTTCTTTCTATTGCTGTTATTTATTTTGTTTGCACCATGCCTCTCACACCAACGAATAACTGTCAAATGCTCAGTCGGTTGACTCAGAGGATAAACACGCATTCAGGGATTATAATGGGGTCATTGATCTGACAAAGGGAGAGAAAAACCGACCAACTACAAGTGTGTACACATATGGGACACACGTGGGTAAAATCTCACAATTGTTTTGCATTAATGTGTTTCATTTCATGATGATGTTTCTTCTAGCCTAAGTTGTATTGCAGTTAAATGTGTGACAATTGATCGGTTTAGTATCAGTAATAGGTAATATAACATTCATCCAACCCAAAAAAAACATTTTTACGACGTCATTGGTGGAGATTCTTCTTAACGACATTTGTAGCAATACATATTTTAAAGTTTCCTTGCTGCTACTGAATGATAAACAAACTTATCTGGAAAATATGTTAAATGGGAAGTGGACCAATATGTTTACTATATTCATATATTTATGGGGATGGAGCAGTGGCGAGAGTATTTAGGTGCAGCAGTTAGCAAACTGTATTATCAGCCAGGCGACCTTGGTTTGATTTTGCCCATGGTTGGCATCTGTAGCCAATGACGTGGCTGAAGTATGGTTAATAAACCACACCAATGAATAATAGACCACGGGGAAGCGTTCATCTAGCGCTGGATTGAAAAGGAGGGGGTGTCAACATTAGTCCACGTACATTATAGCAAACCCACACGCGTGGTGCTAGCCATAAAATCACGAAGACAGCATTCGAAACAGCCAAAGAAACACACTGAGCAAGTGCCTCTGTCAACTGCGCCATTTGCCTGATAGATATCCCACTGCTAAGCCTACAGCACGAGTGCAGAAACTCAAGAAATTATTCATCAAATGTGACAGTGTGCCCAGAGGTAGCTTTGCTTTTTCTCTCTCGTCAATTTGCATGCCTAGACTTTGAAAGTAGAACAATGACACAAAGGCAAGCGCCACGCGTTGAGAGAGAGAGAGAAAAAAATGTTTTTATAGTTTGTGAGTGGTCACAGTTTGAGCGTGAGCAATCTGGAGGGTTAGTAAACTTTCAAAGACTTTAAAAAAGAAACAGCCGCAGCCAAGCGACGAGCGTTGCCCGCTCTCATGCACGTGCCACTGATTTAATCGGTCTCGCAGGATTCAGCTAAAAGCTTGAGGAATGTTCACGACCCAAACACCTTTATTATGAGTTTCATTCTGTTAACACGCACAGCTTGTTTGTCAATCCAAGCCATTGGGGGTTATTTGAGCCTACTCGAGTTGGAGGTGGGATATTGTTATCTACATTTAGATTCCGTTTTTTTTTATGTGGATGAATTATTTTAAAAACTACATGCTAAGTTAATCGCAGAGAATATTTGCCGAAACGTGGCATTTGATGTCACGCTATTGATAGGACCGATATGGTATGGACAGACAGCCTCCACAAAAATAATGTGTCAATTTTACCACAAGTTCATGACTGTCAATTAATATGAATAATTTACTACATTCTGTAACGCGGGGGACTGATGTAATTACTGAAGTTCATAAAAGGCATTGAAAATGTGATATGAATAAATCAATTAAATCTATTTAAATTAAAGATTGAGTAAATTCTTTTTTTACAAATGTTAAGGTGTTTACTGAGCACTATAAACTCTACTAAAATTATAGTCTATCAATATTTCCGCAAGCACTCGTTTCTACTTAATCCTCGTGATGATGGAAACGTATGTTTAAAAGTACCAAACAGATAAAGCTGTTGGTGAACCGCTGGTCAAACTCTGTCAATACTCCAAAGCCTTTGACCTGGAGGGGAAAGTTGGTAAAAGCAAATGTTGTCCGTCACTTGTGAGCCTTATCTGCTGCTTGATGTTGTTGTAGGGAGGAGGTCTGTGGTTCCCTTTGAAAAACAGGGAGTGGTTTGAGGTGCTGGGCCCACTGCTGAGGAACAAGAAAAACGTGTAGTCCCCAATAGCAGCGTGGCGTCAGATGTAGTATTCAATGTCATTTAATCATGTTGTGCATTTCACATCATTTGTTCGGACATATTTTGTAGTCTAGGTGATGTGTAGGTCATTTCGTGCACGTTGCCATTAAATTCGGCATTACAACTTCTTCCGGAGCATTCTTATTTTAAATTCATCATGTGGACTAAGTATTTTGTGATTTTATTTGAAAAGAAAGCAAATTTGTATGGCAGCTGTGCTAGCATTGGGAAATTTTTATTTCCCAGCAGTATGCTGGGAAAATATATTCCACACTCAAACAAGCAATACAATATTAATAATGTGTTCGAGCCCTTTGTCAATCGAATGTTGAAGGAATGCCTCCCTACACCCTATCAGTCATGGGGGTTTGTTGGACCATGTCTACACATGCTGGCAAGTGCGTGTTTGTATAATAGAGGCCAGAAAACATTTAAAATTACTCGCCACTAATGGCCAGTCACGGAATTCAAGTTGCCAAGTTCACCACGAAGTGTGTTAACCACTGTGCCAACGCTCCATCCCGGGATACTGTAATACAAATTAACTGCCGAAAATACAATGACACATATTCTTTGGGTCTTTCGGTAAAGTCACGTAGATAGGTACAAATAAAAAAATATATAAAATAAACAAAATATTTATATTTATGATTTTTTCATTTGTACCCATCTACGTGACTTTACCGAAATACCCAAAGAATATGAATTCCTGCAGTCACGAAAGCTTTAAGTCAAGATACAATGACACATGCCTACATTTGTTTTTCAGGCTGGTTCATGAAGTATTGCCTTCCACTCGACTTTTAAACTAAATCAATCAACAAAATAACATTCTTCCCAATCAAGTTTATAGACGCAGGAAAATTATTCTACAATCACATCTTTGAACCGTCATATCTCACTGGCAATCGCGACCGATCCATGCATGGACAACAACAATGGTATGGTTTGCTTTCACCATCCAATGTGCTGAATGTTGATCAAGATTCAGCTGTGAGAGAAAAGATTTTACAAAGAGGTTGTGTTTCCCCTACAACCCAAGTTACGTGTGTCACCTCCGCCTTGAAGGAGATGTCCATATTAGAGCATGAACCAGAATTATTTGCTTATGCTGGAGATGAGCTGCAAAGCAGCCTGAGCGATAGAGTGGGCACTGGAGACCATGTCTATGAATCGATGAGCGATTTGTACTTGCAAAAAGCGAGGCTTGCAGATGATCTACAGGGGTGGAAAACAGATACCAAGATTACGAATGAACAGTCTGGCCTCGATAGAAAAGGTTGGGCACGCAGACAAAACTTCCACAATCTTGAGCAGGCATCAACGGACAGAAGTTGTTCATATTTAGATGGCAATATCGAGGACATGGAACAAGGAGAGGAAATTAAATATTCATATGGAAGAAAAACATCAGACAATGTTTTAGAATTAAAAGCAACAGTGGAAGCCTTGCAAAATTCAATTTCATATTTGGAAGAAGAAAACACAAGTCTCCATAGAGAACTCAGGGACAAGAGAGTAGCCACAGGTATGAACGCATCCGAGATGTGTCCCAACAAAACTGTAGCGGGATATGATAGGCCATGGGAATATACAGTGACGTCGAATTCCCATAGCCACATTCTTCCAGAAACGAATTGTGACTCCAAAATGACAAGGCAGGGTTGTGAGATTAATTCACATTTGAAGATGGGGGAACTAAAGATCAACGACCAAACTGTTGATGTTGAATTGGAAAGTGATACGTCCACAAGCGGAGCCACAAATGATTATAGCGATAGAGACAATCTACGTTTCTTATCGCAACTAAAGTGTGTAGCTTCAAAAAATAGCAAAGATATGCTCCCTTTACAAAGTCAGAAAATGCACAGTGAAAACATGGCAAATCAAGATGGAGAGAGTAATGGAGATTCTGACAAAATGGCACTGCTAAGAAAACTTTCTGAAACTGAAAAGCAAAAGAAATCCTGCTTGAGAGACCTGCGAAGGTTGGTGCAGAAATACGAAGAGTCGAGGGAGCAGCTCAATGAGCAGAACGCTGCACTCGAGCGAGCACTGCAGGAAAAACACGCGTTGTTCCTGAGCCTAAAAAAACGACAGGAGGAGAACGAGTCATTGTCATCGACGCTGAGAGAAACGAAGCAAGAAAAACAAAAACTGCAAGATGCTTTCCAGAGGGCTCGCGAGGAGAATAACGGGGGAAATCAAGCAGCGCAGGCATCGCGGGAGGAGTGCCTGCACCTGACGGAGGCAGCGTACAGGTTGATCCAGGAGAAGCAACTCTTGGGGGAGATGGAGGCTCAGCTGAGGGAAGATCTGGAAGACTGCAAGCATCGGCTGCACCAGAGTGACGATGCCATCCTTGACCTGCGTGAGAAGGAACAGCAACTCAAAGCTGAAAAAAAGGAATTACTCACAAAGGTAAGCCCGTCACTGAGCCGTACGTCCACTCACCACAAACATTGTTTAAGTCTTACGTTGTAAAAAAAGTATGTTTTCAATATCTAATTTGTCCATTTCATTAATGAAATGATTGCCATATACACATGTATATATAATATTCTATGACGAGGTTAATACTTTTGTAACATTTTCATCGGATCAGTTCAATGTAGGTTATTAATTAATTCTGATTTTCTTGATTTGGTCATTCATATGCAACATTATTAAGTAAAATAATATACCAAATAAATATAAAACTACGGTTGTATATAAATTACGAATATGACAACTTGTGAATTGATCTTTCAATGTAATAATATTGCATTTGAGTGCTGCCCGTTTTGTTCAACCCTCGCATATAGATGGTGAAAGAGAGAGAAGAGAATGAGCAGTTGGAAGCAGCAATGATGGAAAAAGAACGGGCCAACCATTTTGCACGGATGGAGCTGGAGGAGTTACGGCAAAGGTTCAATGCCACGGAGCAGAAACTCCAAGCCGAACTGGAAGAGGCCCGCCTAGGGCAAAGCATGGCGGAAAAGAGTGTCCAGGGCATGCGTGAGGAGCTCAGGGCCACAGGGAAACTCGTGCAGGCTCTCAAGGAAGACAAGCAGCTTCTGCAGAGAGAGGTGGCTGAGACCAACAGAGCCAGGGTGCAGGCAGAAGCTGAAGCTAAACGAAGCAGGGAGGCTTTGCTTCAGGAGGAGGAACTGGCTCGGGAGGCACTCCGAGAGAAGGAAATGATGGAGTTGGAACTTCAGCAACTCCGTGCGGACTACCTGCACCTGAGCGACAGGATCGCTGTACGGCTGGGAGAGATGCACATTGAGGGGCAGCTCGAAGGAAATGAGAATCCTTCTGCAGATGACGTCGGTGATGGGGGTGGTGTAGGGAATGGGAAATAACTTTCCAGCATGGCTTGTTCTAAGAGAGTATATTTCCATGGCTGTATATAAATTACTCCTCAATTTAAATATCTTCATTAAAATCCGTTCATGGTGTTTAAACTGAAATGAAAGATATAACAATCTATACTTAAAGCATTAATTTTTCTGAGTAAATACTACGATTGATAATTGATTTATTTGTGTAAGGCCACATCATGATGTTTACCACAATCAAGAAAGTCAAAATGATCTTGCCTTTATGGATTGCTAACTCTGAATATCTGGATGTTGTCCTGATGCTGCGTTTAGAGTACTGTATTTAGCTGTTACAGATTTCCACGTCTAAGCCACTTCGTTAAACTAACATTTGTGGTCAGGTCGCTTTTGAATAACAGCTTATAGCTCAGTGAGCCTACCTGCTAAGTTTTTTTTTAAAGTTTTAAATAGTGATATAGTTTCAAACAAAACGTCATATCAAATTGCTAAAATTGTTTGTGAGTATTGTCCTTTGAACTTACCGGTGAGCCAAAGCAATACTCATTTGCAAGTTAGATGCTTGTAGACAACGTGACAATTTGTTTGGCTGTGTCAGGTGGTGGGGGCCCCTTAACAGCATGGATTTGGTCAGACAATTAAGTGGCCTAATACTCTTAGTTCTTTCGGTAAAGTCACGTAGGTAAAAAATGAAATTACCTACGTGACTTTACCGAAAGAACTAAGAGTATGAATCCTTGCAGTCACGAAAGCTTCAAATCTAGAATTAAGTGGCCTAACCCAGCGGTCCCCAACCTTTTTGGCACCAGGGACCGATTTCGTGGAAGACCATTTTTTCACGGACCGGGTGGGGGGGGGGTCATCATTGGGTCTTTCCCCCTTTTCAAAGAAGCTCTCAGGCTCGGGGTTAGCTTGTGGGCTTACCAAAACTGTGATTGAGACGAGTGCGCAGTGCGGGAAAGAGGCGAAGACGGAAGTGGTTAATAAAATAATGGGCGGGCCACGCGCGGACTAAAATAAGTGTCGGATTCTGACTTCTCATAAGGAGTGCGCAACCTAGATGCCTCGCATGCGCAGTTTACACAGTCGGGTTCGCGCTCCTATGAGAATCTAATGTTACCGCTGATCTGACAGGATGCGGAGCTCAGACGACAATGCGAGCGATGGGGAGCGGCTGTCAATACAGATGATGAAGCTTCATCTGTCAATACAGATGATGAAGCTTCATCTGTCAATACAGATGATGAAGCTTCATCTGTCAATACAGATGATGAAGCTTCATCTGTCAATACAGATGATGAAGCTTCATCTGTCAATACAGATGATGAAGCTTCATCATCTGTCAATACAGATGATGAAACTTTGCTCGCTCGCCCACCGTTCACCTCCTGCTGTTCGGCCCGGTTCCTAACAGGGCAAGGACCGGTAACTGGTCCGCGGCTCGGCGGTTGGGGACCCCTGGCTCTAACCCAAGAAATCTATCATAAATCAGACGAAATATAGTGCCATTTGGAAAGATGTGCTGATATAAAAAAATAATGTGCCGGAAACACAATCAAATTCATGTAACTACAGTGTAGGTAACACATGTTGGTATGCGACCATTCAAGTCTGCTGGATAATTCTATGTTTCTAGCTTTGCTTCAACAAAACAGAGCACTTAACCAACATGCAAATCAGATGTTCAGGGTCGTATTTCAAAATACACCGCGGCACACTTGGTGTAACGTGCTTTTAATACCATCCTAAGTTGCAAATGTTTATCGCATTTAGGCATGTTTGATTACACTTTTAATGCATTTAACACATTGTTTATTTAACTTACATCGTGACTTACTATAATTTTGCCCTATTTCAAGTTATGTTTTAAATATATAAGTATTTAGTTTGAGTGTTAATATAAATATATTTACATTTTTGCAGACTATATGAATTTATTTACACGTTTTACATTTAAAAATACATTAAAGCTTGTGTTTTTAATTGTGTTATTGTCATAGCATTTCTAATCGGTATTCAAATGATATTTTAATGCGTAAAAATACATTTTTATTCTATAGGTGAAATTATATCAATGTGAATAAAATGCTTGCAGAAATTAGCCGTGTCTGGTGGTGACATCATAGCAAGCCAGCAGTGGCGAGTGTGGGGTTGTTGGAAATGCCGGTCATCTCAGTTAACGCATTAAGCCTGCGTCTGTCTCATAGCCTCCTGCCAGTGAGCCGTTCATACTTTTCACATGGGCTCAAGGTGCATATCGCCTGCCACAAACACCATGGTAATGACAACGCCACTTAGTGGCAAATGGGAACTGTTGTTGTGGTGCTTACAAGAGAAGTTGGTGAATGCGACACTTGGTGAATTTAAATATTTAACAACTATTTCACTTTTCCATTATTATTTTCCTTGTTTTGCTCCATGGAGACGCGAAGACACACACCGATGTTTTGTATTGCTTTATTCTATATTCATAATACACTGAATTATGTAATTATTATTTAAAACTAATATATTATTTTAATCCTTTTCCCCAATAATCATCGTAAAATCATAGTAAACATATACGTTTCAGATTCAGTGGATGCACTGAACGACAGAATATATTAATTGTGAAATCACACGAGAACAAACTATATCATGCTTGACAAGATTTAAGATGCCTTTACTTCCTCACAAAAACAAATTGCATAAGGAAGTTAGTGAAATATAGTACTTCAAGATTATTTTGAGGTTTAAATTGGGTTAATTAGTAATACATGCTACATTTGCGTACATCTAAGTAATAATTGCATATGGCAATGTTATATATTGCCTCAGAAAAATACTAGAATGGAGTAGCAGTGAAGTGGATCATGTCTGATGTATAATTATTTACTGTGAGAATATGATGCACTGAGTGGATAACATACATTTTATGTAGATAATTTCGTGGTGCCCATTATATGGCGAATGGCTACTTACATGTATTCAAGGTTAATTGTATTATACAATGTAATACGACGCAATGTAAGGTGATATTTGAGTGATTGAGTTATTTTAAATTGGATGGTATCATCTGCATTTGGTTACAGAATTCACATCCGTCACAGCACTGATGAGGAATTTGTAAATTGGGTAGTAGATAAATGGTTTTGACAATGACAGATAATTCTTAGATAATCAAGCATATCGTGCGAAAACAAGGATGTAAATGTCGATTATGTGTCAAACAGGTCTTAACAAACAACTGGTCTACAAGCAGCATCATATATACTTAATGCACACTTTGAAATTGCATGTTTTCAGTATTTTGGTTGATCATGCATTCATTTATTGCTTTAAACCTTTGACCAGTTAGTTGGTTAGTGTGTCAATCGTTAACATTTAGACATGACGCCTTACTAAAACGAGTTTGAGGTGTGCAGCACAACAAGGGCGTGATTGCAATAAGCAGTGTTGTAGAGGGGTACGTTGTAATAGGGAGTGGCGAGTGCACATTCTTTGCTATTCCGTTTGCTGTCCGAGTACTTGATCCACAGCCCCAAGCGACGGAAAATTACTACAGGAACAACACAAAACAAAATTAGAGAAAAGTCCTCATCAAGAAACAACAATATATGCAGGCTATGATCTCTGATCTACTGTGATCAACCTTTTCTTAACACGCACAAGTTAATACATACATAATCGACTTTTTGTTGACATTAGTAACGGCTTTTTCAGGGACAAGACAGCATCAGGCAATTTAGTCTACTTATGAAATATTTTCACGTATTGACTTGCAATCATTAGCAAAAATATCATGTGGTTAATCGAGTGATCTTTAGAAACTAGTTCAGACACTTACACCTACATAACATATAGTGGTGAACATTTTTCGATTTAAAGCTTTCGTGACTGCAGGGATTCATCTTCTTGGTTCTTTCGGTAAAGTCACGTAGAAGGGAAGTAATAAAATAATAAAAATAAAACATAATAAAATCAAATAATTCTCACGACGTTTCGGCTACAACCAAGAAGATGACAATAACATCTCAATCCATAGAGGACCACAGAGCTTGGGGGGTAGGGGGGGGTAATTTGGCACCGGCTAACTGCCCAGATGCTTTCCCGCTCGTCTGTGGTTCCTCTTGCCTCAGGATTCGTTCTCTCTTCGAGAGCGAGTGAATACTGTGCAGTGCATTACAAGTGTAGAGGAGTAGTGGGTGATGTCACGTCACGCTCGCCCTCGGAGAGAGTGGCGTCGCAGAACGTGACGTCAGGATGACCTTGGGGGACGGTGACGTCATGCCTCCGGGGGGGTATTTAAAGGGGGACCTGGGATGTAACCGGGGTTCGTCGGGGGTAGGAGTGGGGACTCGGGGTAGGTGATCCTCACACGAAGCTAGGGGAGGCTACTCTGCCCGACCGGCCGAGGTTGGGGTAGTCCCGGCCCAGGGCAGGGAGGAGAGCCAAGTTAGCTGGGGTTGTAGGGATCACAGTACCCTGCCCCCTGGGGAGTTTTCGGCTAGGGTGGTTTTGGTTCGGCGTAAGCCCTTAATAAACTTGGCGTGAGCCCCTAACGGAACCAGCCTCAGAGGTGTACATTGCGTCGCAACACAAGTTTAAATTATGAATCATTATTATCAGAGCACATACTTACGTGTGCAGTACTGCAGGTGGATGCCACCAATGTTTGTTCTACCCCTGCCGCTGCTGCTGGCTAATCCAGGTGCTGTACTTGGAGATGAAGGTGAACACTCCTGGAGTGCCTGGCTGGGAGCACTGTCGGCCCCAGCTGGCAAGCCCCACCACGTACAACCGCCCATCAGTGTTCAAGCAGGAGATTGCCCCTCCTTTGTTGCCCTGCCATGACAAAAAATAAATACTGTGACACTCCTCTTATCCATGGCCCTATCACTCATAACTTCCATTATCCGTGGACAAGCGCGATATGTGAGAAAATATATTTTGCTAATCGCACCCCCGATTAGCACGGTGTGAAATAAGTTCAACATAAAAACATCTGTGTAACTTTGCAGATGAGTCACCAGGAGGTGTTGGGAAATTCAATCTATAATGTTCATTTAGTCATGCAGAAGTGCTCTGTTTATCCTACTATGTGCATTTTTTTTGCACAGACAAGAGAAGTCATCCAGTAGTAGTGGGAAATTGTACGACATGAATGAGAGAAGTTTAACAGTATTACACTGCATGCAATATTACATAGCAGTTGGGCTCTTTGTGCCAAGAAGGGAAATTATGGCAAAATTCATTAATTGTGAGCATTATGGTGATTCCATTTGAACTAATCTGACCATCCAAAGGAGGTGCGTTTCCAAAATAATTGTTAAATGCGTTTTATATATATCATATTAGAACTTTATATATGTATGCATATTTCATCAAAATAAAGCATATTTTGGCTCGGAGCCATAATGAGATGCTGCTACAAGTCGTGTAATATTGTAAATAAGTGAATACTACATACAGAATGTTTACAAACCGTAAAGTTAACTTTTGATTAACGAACCATCCTTTCAGCACTTCAAAAGGAATATCAATCGTTATAAAATGCTGATATGGAAATAACCTCAAAGTGTGTAGAATTACAAACACAATTACAACACAGTTTTTTGAGCCAAGGGATTTTGGTTAGACAGCATCTAATATGTGACTTACCCAACATGCAGACGGGTGACCTGATACATCAGCACAGAGCATCCTCACATTCACCGATGATCCATAATTCCGCGACGAGGCACAGGTTCTTTGTGGGACGATGCGAACTTCAACACCGCTTGTAAAGGCTGAAAAAGATTAAAATATACACGAGCATTAATTACTGCATGCATAAACAGCACAAAATTAATTAAACGTCTTTCAATTGCACATCTCAAGCCCTGACAGCAAGTCCGGCACTGCAGTTCTCGTGCTGTATGTGTTCAGTTGCAGGTGACATTGACTAAGCGAAGTCTCACCGGGGTAGGAGGTCAAGTAGCAAGCTGTTGTGCTGCTGGGGAAACTGGGGCTGTCTGATGGGACGCAAGCCGGTGAGGCGATATCTGAGATGGGCACACGGCGTGCCAACTCCACCAGTGCCAAGTCATAGTCCTGTGGGAGTGATGTGGAGAATTGCCCGTGTGCGATGATTCTCCGCACGGCGAACTTGTGTAGGAAGCGAACGACACCTCTGACTGGGTACTGGCCCAGCAGAGCCTGCCAACCTTGAACCTGCAGGCTACAACACAGCACTGCATTAGAACACGTAGTAGGTGTTTTCACGCACTCCTAATGCAAGTTTGGTCTTCCATGTTAGACAACGTGTTGATCACATGTTCTCTAAAGCTTGTGCCACGCACTACTGCGGACATCTTCACTTTACCTGCATTCAACTCCTGACCATGCCCGAAGTAGTGCGTGGAAAAAGCTTGAGAGAAGATATGCTTGTTCTCCCTCACGGCAGGTGTTTTGCTCCACGGCAGGAGTGGGGGTGTGTGTATACAGGAATTTCCTGTTTTGAGGTTGAGTTTTGTCACGTGACCAGGAAGTTACGATTTGACAGTCTTTGAGCCACGAGGCTGGCGTCCACCATTACACAGAGTTCAAAATGGAGGCACACATCGCGTCCGAGTGAAGCCAGCTGTAACTGAACATTGTGGGACTTTAAGAAGCATTGTCTGTAAGTTCGTTTATGTTCTTATAATACTGGGAATGCTGTTATAATGTTAGAATAACCGTTATAATGCTGTAAATGCCTTTATAATGCTGTTAGATTGTTATGATAAATACGAGGCCTAAGTAACAACGAAGCCTGCAACTTGCCTTATTGTTAATGTTACTTGTAATTGAAGTCGTGTCAAACTTGTACCCAAGTAACTAGATTGCGATTTTGAGAGCAAGGATGACGAAATGGCTCATCCACAGCTCAGTGTTATATGCAGTGCTGTACATTTGGGGTGCAGTGTGATGATTACACGATGTGCCTTTATTTAACACAGTAGCTTATTCTCTTGTATAGCTGTTCAGTACTAATGTAGGTGCCTGGTCCATCCAGGATCTATTGTTGAGTTTCAGGTTATCTAAGACAATGTTAAGATGCTGTAGTGTTCATTCATTGTATTGATATTTCCAAGTATTAACAAATGCTGTATCTGTGCTGTGTTTTTCCATCAGTTTTACCTCATTCAATTCAATGTATTACGTTTGGAGTCGGATGTTCACCCTGGCTCTGAGGATGCGAGGTTAACTACTCGTATAGCGGTGCAACGCAGCGCACAGCGAGGCTGAGACAATGCTCACCACACAGATTTGACAAAAAGACCACACCTGAAGAACCACATTTTGTTTCTAGCTTTGCCAAGAAAAAAATATATAATACATTTGACACTGCATTTATCAGAGGCTTCTGCTAATTGCAAAGCACAGATTCCATAAATGTGTCCTAAATTGCAATTTGCTGCAACTTATTGATGACAAAGGGAATTTTTGCACGTTTAAATACCAAATTGGATTATAACTAGCGAGTCACCTTATGTCCACAGTGACAGCTGCCACTGCAGAGGAGATGTCCTTTAAAATGTTTGATGTGAGGTAAAGTACACCCCAATGGATAGGGCAGTAAATAATTACAGTGTCCATGACATTTTAACTGTGCTATTCGAAACTATGTGTTACACATATATCAAATATAAAGTAGAGGAGTTATTTGTGCAATAATAATGGTCGTGTACCATACTCTGAATTACAGAAAAGGGGCAAAATACCTGGCATTCTGGGTACAGTGAGCGGCTGTTATCAGCCACCTATCACCGATGAGTGTTGCATCACATGTAACGTTTCCATTGACTAGACTGGCAAGCCAAGGAGTCTGAATGAGAGAGCCCTGGCCACATGCTGAAAAATAAAATAATTAAGAAAGATTGAGTGATGTCAGCAGCAAATACATTAACAATTCAAAGGCCATTCATTAACCATAACCCTTAAATGTCCAGCTACCTCTTAAAATATTAAATTATTGATCTAAATATTGGAAACTTTTCATATTTTACATATCAAAACAAATACAATTGGAAAGTGAGACTTACGATATGAAGGCTTTGGTGTGAATTGTAGCGGGATATGCCATAACACATTAACATGGAGCAAGTGTGACAAGAAAACAGGTCATGTGTTTGAAATGTGATGTTACAGACACATTGAAAAAATTAGCTGCTATCATGAAATACATTTTGAGAGAGAATGTCTACAACCAGCAAGAGCTGTCGTCTGATTTTAAACAAATGGAAAAGCAGGAAACATTATTAAAGTGGTTAAATTTCGATTTAAAGCTTTCGTGACTGCAGGGATTCATCTTCTTGGTTCTTTCGGTAAAGTCACGTAGAAGGGAAGTAATAAAATAATAAAAATAAAACATAATAAAATAAAATAATTCTCACGACGTTTCGGCTACAACGCAAGCAGCCGTCTTCAGGTGAAGAATGAGACACTGCCAAGCTAGGAGCTTATATATAAGCTGCGTTGGAGGTGGAAGAAGAGCGCCTTAACAAAAGAATGTGCATATGAAGAGGAATTTAGCATATTCATGGAAATGCGTAGGAGGTGGGCGGGGGGGTTTCAAAGTCATATTATGCCCATGCATTATGCAGGATCAACAGCACCAAGGGGGGGTGCAGGGATTAGCAGTAACAAAGGAAAGGAATGTTAATGATATGTAGCTGCAGTTACTCAACAACCACGTAGAAAACTAAAGTATAAACTACATAAAAAACTAAAGTATAAATTGCATAGCACCATCAGTATACTTACTATACTCTACAATAAGCTGAGTTACTAACAGCAAGTAATACATTACAATTCTACGTCGTAAAAATTATATAATATGCTTCCATCTAAACTTTATTCTATTGCATCACACGAGCATATACCGTACTATATACCAGAGGTGGGACAAAGTCATTGTTATGCAAGTCCAAGTCGAGTCTGAAGTCATCAAATTCATGACTCGAGTCTGACTCGAGTCCAAGTCACATGACTCGAGTCCACACCTCAGAGGTGGGACAAAGTCATTGTTATGCAAGTCCAAGTCGAGTCTGAAGTCATCAAATTCATGACTCGAGTCTGACTCGAGTCCAAGTCACATGACTCGAGTCCACACATCTGCTATATACTGCCAACATTAAATTATATACTGTATTGCTGTAAACCAACCTATACCTTATACATTTAATATAACACTATGTATTATTCTACCCACCCTAATGTGTGTCGAAATGGTTTATTACGTCCTTCCAATGATTGCTAAGCCAGAATCCATCTTCTCGGTTAAAATTGTCTCTGTGTTTGTATATGTGGATCGCCTCATGAACGAATCTCTCATGATAGCCAGATGGCTTGCATGAATATGCTAAATTCCTCTTCATATGCACATTCTTTTGTTAAGGCGCTCTTCTTCCACCTCCAACGCAGCTTATATATAAGCTCCTAGCTTGGCAGTGTCTCATTCTTCACCTGAAGACGGCTGCTTGCGTTGTAGCCGAAACGTCGTGAGAATTATTTTATTTTATTATGTTTTATTTTTATTATTTTATTACTTCCCTTCTACGTGACTTTACCGAAAGAAACAAGAAGATTATTAAAGTGTTTTTAAAAATGTATGAGTATGGTTCTACATAGAGAAATTATCATCGAAAAGGGAAGAAGAAGATCAGTTCGTGGAACAATGTGTGTGGTGCTGAATATCATAAATAGTGGAAAGTATCTGTCATAGGCATCAACGCTCAGTTATGAGGATGACACTAGATTGATTATATTGACCATGAAGCTTATGTTCGTCTAAGACAAGAGCTGCATTGCCACCTGAATTACAACCATAGACTAATTGCACCTGACAATTTGTTATTTACCCTTTTATCTGGCAACAAAACTGACACCTTTTTTACAAGGAGTCATGTTTGCATTGACCACAATACCTGCGGTCGGAATGCAAAAAAAAACACAACTCTGATAATGTATGCACTGTCCTTGAAATTGATTGGTCCACACCCGAGCCAGCTTTTCTAAGAGCCTAGTCTCACATTGTGTTGGACCAAATGACACCAAAAAAACAATTATATTTTGCTACTGGCAAAGGAGGTTCCAATGGTGTAATGGCACCTGTATATATTATCTGTGCAGACTGATATTGTTACAATTATATGCAATAAAGAGCGTACCACGAATGGGATCCAATGGTGTCACGGACGTATATGTCACTTGAAAACCCCTTCCTAGAATCAGACAACAAAATAAGAATAACAAATAAATAAAAAAACATGCAAACATATACACACCTGCAAATGAAAACAGTGAATATGTACAAACTGGATATGTAACAAGGCATTTATTGAAATAGATCAATTGTTTATGTACATTCTATAAAATGACAATCATGCTGCATTTATTCTACTTGAGCAAACAAAAATGCAGAAATAATAATAAACAATACAAACAAGACTAATCATGGGATAAAACAAATTGGTTCTTAAATCGACTTTTGACCCCGAATCATGACAATTGATTAATCTGCTGGGGGAGAGGGAGTGAATTATAAAGGCCTGGTGTACATCGATACATTTTATAAAGCAGTCGGTGTGTAGCTTTCACATGCGAAAAATTCCATTGTGTCCTACCAATGGGGTCATAATTTTCATTGAAATAATTTACGCAGTCACAGTGAATAACATCAAGTGCCAAAAATGTGGAAAATGTTACGGTACAAACCTGCCAATACTTGTTGCTTAGTCCAAACCAAAGTTATGTTTGAGTAGAGAGATCTGATTGCAGGTGGGACATCTGATCCACAGAATGTTGCCAATTTAGTGTCAGGGGTTGTGATGTTTCCATCGTAAATGTCCACACGTTCATTCAAGCAGTCACTGGATAGACTACAACACAAATACAAGTAAACTCAGACAGATATCCACCATTTAGCCTAATAGGCTATAGAGGCAAATGCGAATAGCGAGCACAGACTGGTGCGGGAATTGCACAGAAACTGGAGAACACGACTCAGTGCTGATGTTTACATGCCATGCCAGTTGCTCATTTAAGGCCAAATTGATCTATGGGAGGTCTGAGACAAGTTCAGATATCGCGCATAGTTGTTGGATGTTTGACATATAGTTGAAGTCTTTGCTTCATGCTCAATTCACCACTAATTAAAACGTTCTCAAATGTCTATGAACATCTTAATACCTGTATTATTTTCAGACAAGGTGAAGCCCTATTTTTTTTTACAAATCACTTGATTCATTTATCTATTTTGCGTATCACTATGTTAGTTTTTGGAATTATGATGGCCAATTCTAAGAAAAAACTGAACCATTCTGCCACTGCTTATGGCACAATTTTGGAGTGGCCCAAAGTGAGTGTGGTTTAGTGGATTTTATTTTCTGGAATAATGCAGAATCTCATCAGCAATCCCCCAGATACTGATAGGCTCTGAAAAAAAATTGTAGAATGGGGCTCCGCACATAGGGTTCCACCAATTTGGTATAATGTTTGGGCGAAAATTGGAACGGTACATTAATTAGTTGGAATCCATTTTTCAGCAAATCCGTGTGACAGAATTATGAAAACGTACAGAAACAAACTCCACATGCATCAGGCCTTTCATATAAAATCTTTCTTTCAACTTCTCAGTGTTTTCAAGACACAACTCAATCGATAAGCCCTATTTCTGATCTGAAGCCCCAATGTGTGAAATGCAGAACCTATTTTTCTGTTAAAATGTCATTTCAAAATGTCATTTTAACAAGGGAAGTTGGAGTTTAGTATTTATTGTTAGAAAAGTTCCAGTGGAAAAAAAAATACTGTAAAAATATACAATAAAGAAGTACATTCTTCTAAATTGTAAAACGGTGTGAATCCAAGTAATGTTATTTAATTAACAAGAAACGATCGCTGAGCATGAGAATGCTGTTTTTCAATTCAGGGTTCAATTCAAAGCTCTGCACTGATAGATTTAACAATCCATTGCTCAACTGAAATATGTTGGCGACCTGCAGCCCCACACCTACAATATTTTGTATGCACTGGTGGCCTTCCATCCAAATGTTAACCAGGCTCAACCCTGAGTCGCTTCCAAGATGTGCAAGAGAACGGGCATGTACATAGTATTTTAGCCATAGGAAAACGTGACATTTGGGGTGTATTGTATACAAACCTAAACAAGGTAAACTGAAGAAGTATAACTTTGCCAGGAGATGCTTTTATCATCCAGGTGTAAGGGGTACTCGCACCACACTGGCTGCCAAAGTTACTTGAAAGAATGCTTCCATTTGCATTACTAAGATCTGTAGAGCACCAGCGATTGGCTGTTGACAAACGCGGAAAAGATTACGATCATTACTGAATGACACCGAAATAATACAACATGCAAATTAAGTTATCACATTACGAACATTTAGTTAAATTCTAGTGAAAGATTTAGCAACATACACACCACTGCAAATGACACCAGCATCTTCAATGTGGCTACAGTCATGCTGCCCCCATGGGCGATGAGAACATGATCCCAGGGAGGATTCAGAACCAGTGCATCTGACATCATCCAGCCATATGGTGCCATTGCCCTGACCAAAGTAGGCAACTTGTGGGGCAGAAATAGCAGCCCCACAACCGAGCATGTGACAGACGACCTGGGCATCATTCATATCCCAATAATCATCACAGACCGTGCCCCAGGAGCTAGCATAGAGGACCTCAACTCTGCCTTGACATGGGCTTCCTCCAACCAGGCGAATGGTTGAATCTGGAGTAAACATAATGCATAAAAGTTATTGTTTAGAAAACATGTCAACGAGCCACGATGTACGTTGAACTGATTTCGTACGATACGTAGCCAACCGTCATACAATTAGTTTTTTTTATCTCGAACAAACATTTAACCCCAACAATTTTGACACCATTTTATTGATGTTGATGTTACCTAATGATAACACGCAGACGATCCAAAGGTTAACATCGTGTTTTTTTCTTTATAAAACCAACCGAGCATCAAAACTATATGAACCTAAATCTCAAACGTGATATTGCATAATTTTACTTGGAAGGAGTCATGTACCCTCTGTCATGTGACCATATTCGACCGAAGGTAAACAGCTCTTTGCTATAGAGCAGAAATGCAATGATCTGTGAATCCCTGTAAATCACAGATTATTGGTGATTTGTGACTGCTCCTGGAATCCGTGGAATACCGTGGCAAATAAAAAATGCTACGTGCACTGCGAACCACGTTCTACCAAAGCGACAAGAGCTAACGTGGAACTGCAGGGGCAGAGCTGCAGGGAAATGAGATTTTAGCAAAACATTATTCAGCGACATTTTAGTTTTACATCTGTAGAAACTAGTCGTGCTGGATGTGATTTTTTTTTTTAGGAGAAAATATTTGTTTGCATTTCTTAATCTTGGATTTGAGGTCTGAAAAATGCAAAAAAAATTCTATACCATACGCTCATGATCGATTTGCATCAGTTGGGTCTTATTAAATGTTGCAACCCACAAATTTACAGAAGATTAATTGGAGCCGCTAGTCATGTGCCGTGCTTGCACTGTAATCCATATTTTATTTTGAGTATTTGTAGAATCACGTGGTTCTTTCATCACACAACCCACACCACACCGCATTGGCGCGAAAATATTTTCTTTGAATGTTGGTGGGGCACCGATGACAAGATCTGCAATTATTTCCCCCCAAACCAACGTGGATTATTGGATTCCTGCTGTATTCTGCATTTTATGTATAATTTGACATCATAAACCATTAAATATAATGACCAGAATAGGATATCTTAATAAGCACATTTCACTGGGATTTTAGAATACAAATTTAAAGCAGGGCTTTTAATTGCATATAATTTTAAGTGATATTATACAGACACTATTTAAAATTATAGGTGAATAAGAACTTAACCAAAATAAAGGAAGATGGTCATGGATTGTCAAATAACCCAATAATTGACATGGCAAAGGGAAGCCTTTATCCAGCAGTGGATTGAGAATGGCCATACATTATTCAATTATTATGCATGATGTTGACAATGATAAACAGAAATCTGGCTGCTAATGATGTTTCATGGGTGCTTTTTCTTACAGATATGACGTATACTTCCAATTATAACCAACTTTTGATTTAAAAATGAATAAATTTGCATATACATTTATTGACAAATGCATTCTCTACCCTTCTATCTGGCAACAAAACTGACACCTTTTTACAAGGAGTCATGTTTGCATAGACCGCAATACCTGCAGTCATAAATACAAACAAAAGACATAACTCTTTATGACTGCAGGTATTGCGGTCTATGCAAACATGACTCCTTGTAAAAAGGTGTCAGTTTTGTTGCCAGATAGAAGGGTAAAGAACCAATTATCATATTTTTACTGGCAAATGAGGTCCCCATAGTGTAAATGCATTCTCGTCAATAGGTTGAGTTTTCAGCTGCCCTGCAGTGGGTGATGTGCTTTTAGAACTGTAACCAATAAAGCGAATGTTAAAATGTGTTTCCCTTTAGCTGAGCTACAGACAGTGCAATTAATATATACAGTACCAAATATATCCCAAACTTTGACACATTTTTAGAACTTAAAGTTTTAACATATTTTGAGATGTACACACCACGGAAAATGACACGAGCATCTTCACCATGACCACAGTTGTGTTGCCCCCATGGCAGATGAGGACAATTTCATAGAGAGGACTACGACCCATTGCATCTGACATCATCCAGCCAGATGGTGCTATTGCCCTGACCAAAGTAGGCATTTGATGGGGCAGAAAAAGGAGCTCCACAGCCGACCATGCGACAGATAACCTGGGCATCATTGATGTCCCAGAAATCATCACAAACCATTCGCCAGGAACCAGCATAGAGGACCTCCACTCTGCCTTGACATGGGCCTACTCCTCCAACCAGGCGAATCGCTGATTCTCGAGAAATTGTAGAAAGTCAATATATCACTCGTGCTACCATTTGGAACCAAACTTTCATTGCAGGACGTATCAATTTTACATCAATTTAAAAGTCTAAACTCACCAATTGGTTGAGATGTCGCCTGCCTTGTAGTGGGTGATGAGCTTGCTTGACCTGTAACCAATGAAGTAAATGTTAAAATGTATTTTCCTTTATCTGAAGTATGGCCAGTGAAATTAATATATACAGTACTATTTAAAATAAACTTGTCATTGTAATATAACCTTTTTATATTGGAAGCATATTAGCACTTAAAGTTTGAACGAAACATATTTTGAGATGTACACACCACTGCAAATGACACCAGCATCTTCACCATGACCACAGTTGTGTTGCCCGAATGGCAGATGAGGACAATTTCCTAAAGAGGACTCCAACCCATTGCATGTCACATCATCCAGCCAGATGGTGCCAATGCCCTGACCAAAGTAGGCATTTGATGGGGCAGAAAGAGCAGCTCCACAGCCGACCTTTCGGCAGACAACCTGGGCATCATTGATGTCCCAGAAATCATCACAGACCGTGCCCCAGGAACCAGCGTAGAGGACCTCCACTCTGCCTTGACATGAGCTTCCTCCTCCAACTAGGCGAATGGCTGTCTCTGTGGATTAAATAAATGTACACTGAATTAATTGGCAAGCTTCACTATATACCATTGTGAGATTGTTATGCTTATTCTTTCCTAACTTTGATGATTTGAAAGTCAACCTTTTTAAAATGTGTTTTTGTTTTGCATGTTACGTAGACCTCCATTTACAACCATCTTTTGATTTGAAAAATTTATGAATTTGCATCGCCATTTATTGACAAATATATACTCACCAGGAGCTTGAGTTGTTGGCTGCCTTGTCGTGGTTGACGCACTTGTTTGAGCTGTAACCAATTAAGAATGCTCATTTTAAAAGTTGTATTTAATTTATCAACAAAAGTAAACAACTGAATTAACATTTTGTAATTCATATAATATACAGCAAAACATTACCATTTAATATTAGAAAAAATAACATTTGGAACTTTTATTAAAATATATTTTGAGAAGTACACACCGCTGCAAATGACACTAGCATCTTCACTGTGGCTACAGTCATGCTGTCCCCATGGGCGATGAGAACATGGTCCCAGAAAGGATTCAGAACCATTGCATCTGACATCATCCAGCCAGATGGTGCCATTGCCCAGACCAAAGAAGGCATTTGATGGGGCAGAAAGAGGAGCTCCACAGCCGACCATGCGACAGACAACCTGGGCATCATTGATGTCCCAGAAATCATCACAGACCGTGCCCCAGGAACCAGCATAGAGGACCTCCACTCTGCCTTGACATGAGCTTCCTCCTCCAACCAGGCGAATCGCTGATTCTGGAGAGAAAGAGATTGTAGAAAGTCAATATATCACACATGCTACCATTTGGAACCAAACTTTCATTGCAGGACGTACCAATTTTACATCAATTCAAAAGTCTAAACTTACCAATCGGTTGAGATGTCGGTTGCTTTATAGTCGGTGATGAGCTTGTTTGAGCTGTAACCAATGAAGTGAATATTAAAATGTGTTTTCCATTATCTGAGATATAGCCAGTGAAATTCATATATACAGTACTATTTATAATAAACTTTTAATTGTAATATAACCTTTTTATTTTGGAAACATTTTAGCACTTAAAGTTTGAACGAAACATATTTTGAGATGTACACACCACTGCAAATGACACCAGCATCTTCACCATGACCACAGTTGTGTTGCCCCCATGGCAGATGAGGACAATTTCCTAAAGAGGACTCCAACCCATTGCATGTCACATCATCCAGCCAGATGGTGCCAATGCCCTGACCAAAGTAGGCATTTGATGGGGCAGAAAGAGCAGCTCCACAGCCGACCTTTCGGCAGACAACCTGGGCATCATTGATGTCCCAGAAATCATCACAGACCGTGCCCCAGGAACCAGCGTAGAGGACCTCCACTCTGCCTTGACATGAGCTTCCTCCTCCAACCAGGCGAATGGCTGTCTCTGTGGATTAAATAAATGTACACTTAATTAATTGGCAAGCTTCACTATATACCATTGTAAGATTGTTATGTTTATTCTTTCCTAACTTTGATTATTTGAAAGTCAACCTTTTTAAAATGTGTTTTTGTTTTGCATGTTACGTAGACCTCCATTTACAACCATCTTTTGATTTGAAAAATTTATGAATTTGCATCGCCATTTATTGACAAATATATACTCACCAGGAGCTTGAGTTGTTGGCTGCCTTGTCGTGGTTGATGCACTTGTTTGCGCTGTAACCAATTAAGATTTCTCACTTTAAAAGTTGTATTTAATTTATCAACAAAGGTAAAAAAACTGAATGAACATTTTGTAATTCATATAATATACAGCAAAACATTACCATTTAATATTAGAAAAAATAACATTTGGAACTTTTAAAATATATTTTGAGAAGTACACACCGCTGCAAATGACACTAGCATCTTCACTGTGGCTACAGTCATGCTGTCCCCATGGGCGATGAGAACATGGTCCCAGAAAGGGTTCAGAACCATTGCATCTGACATCATCCAGCCAGATGGTGCCATTGCCCAGACCAAAGAAGGCATTTGATGGGGCAGAAAGAGGAGCTCCACAGCCGACCATGCGACAGACAACCTGGGCATCATTGATGTCCCAGAAATCATCACAGACCGTGCCCCAGGAACCAGCATAGAGGACCTCCACTCTGCCTTGACATGAGCTTCCTCCTCCAACCAGGCGAATCGCTGATTCTAGAGAGAAAGTGATAGTAGAAAATCAAAATATCACACATGCTACCATTTGGAACCAAACTTTCATTGCAGGACGTTTCATTTTTACATAAATTCAAAAGTATAAACTCACCAATCGGTTGAGATGTCGGCTGCCTTGTAGTGGGTGATGAGCTTGTTTGAGCTGTAACCAATAAAGTGAATGTTAAAATGTGTTTCCTTCATCTGAGGTTAAGAAAATCCAAATCAAATTTATACCACCTTTATGGGGAGAATTTAAGTTAGTTTTCTCTCTCTCTGTCTCTGTGTTGTCTCTCTCTGCTTGTGTGTCTGTCTATGTGTCTCCGTGTTGTGTCTTGTCTCTCTCTCTCAAATTTCACACTTCCAAATTAGCACTCTTTGGAAGAACGTAATCAACCAGGTAGGGTGTTGACTATTATGTTAGCCGACTCTCTGTGTTGTATTGCATTATATTTCTAAGTTTATTAGGTTTGTTTTTTCTCATTCATTCGTACCTGATGATGATTGCTTGTGTTACAATCTAAACGTCGAATTATATTATTTAATTTATTTTCTTTCACCTGACTTTACCGAAAGAACCAAAAAGTAATGCTATTCACATATACAGTACTATATTTAATAAACTCCGTCATCGTAATGTTACCTTTATATATTAGACGCATTTTTGCACATAAAGCGTTAAACAAACATATTTTGAGAAGTACACACCACTGCAAATGACACCAGCATCTTCACCATGAACACAGTTGTGTTGCCCCCATGGCAGGTGAGGACAATTTCCTAAAGAGGACTCCAACCCATTGCATGTCACATCATCCAGCCAGATGGTGCCATTGCCCTGACCAAAGTAGGCATTTGATTGGGCAGAAAGAGCAGTTCCACAGCCAAGCTTTCGGCAGACGACCTGGGCATCATTGATGTCCCAGTCATCATCACAGACCGTGCCCCAGGACCCAGAATAGAGGACCTCCACTCTGCCTTGACATGAGCTTCCTCCTCCAACCAGGCGAATGGCTGTCTCTGTGGATTAAATAAATGTACACTGAATTAATTGGCAAGCTTCACTATATACCATTGTGAGATTATTATGCTTATTGTTTCCTAACTTTGATGATTTAAAAGTCAACCTTTTTAAAATGTGTTTATGTTTTGCATGTTATGTAGACCTCCATTTATAACCATCTTTTGATTTGAAAAATGTATGAATTTGCATCGCCATTTATTGACAAATATATACTCACCAGGAGCTTGAGTTGTTGGCTGTCTTGTCGTGGTTGATGCACTTGTTTGAGCTGTAACCAATTAAGATTTCTCACTTTAAAAGTTGTATTTAATTTATCAACAATGGTAAAAAAACTGAATGAACATTTTGTAATTCATATAATATACAGCAAAACATTACCATTTAATATTAGAAAAAATAACATTTGGAACTTTTATTAAAATATATTTTGAGAAGTACACACCGCTGCAAATGACACTAGCATCTTCACTGTGGCTACAGTCATGCTGTCCCCATGGGCGATGAGAACATGGTCCCAGAAAGGATTCAGAACCATTGCATCTGACATCATCCAGCCAGATGGTGCCATTGCCCAGACCAAAGAAGGCATTTGATGGGGCAGAAAGAGGAGCTCCACAGCCGACCATGCGACAGACAACCTGGGCATCATTGATGTCCCAGAAATCATCACAGACCGTGCCCCAGGAACCAGCATAGAGGACCTCCACTCTGCCTTGACATGAGCTTCCTCCTCCAACCAGGCGAATCGCTGATTCTGGAGAGAAAGTGATTGTAGAAAGTCAATATATCACACATGCTACCATTTGGAACCAAACTTTCATTGCAGGACGTACCAATTTTACATCAATTCAAGTCTAAACTTACCAATCGGTTGAGATGTCGGCTGCTTTATAGTCGGTGATGAGCTTGTTTGAGCTGTAACCAATGAAGTGAATATTAAAATGTGTTTTCCATTATCTGAGATATAGCCAGTGAAATTCATATATACAGTACTATTTATAATAAACTTTTAATTGTAATATAACCTTTTTATTTTGGAAACATTTTAGCACTTAAAGTTTGAACGAAACATATTTTGAGATGTACACACCACTGCAAATGACACCAGCATCTTCACCATGACCACAGTTGTGTTGCCCCCATGGCAGATGAGGACAATTTCCTAAAGAGGACTCCAACCCATTGCATGTCACATCATCCAGCCAGATGGTGCCAATGCCCTGACCAAAGTAGGCATTTGATGGGGCAGAAAGAGCAGCTCCACAGCCAACCTTTCGGCAGACAACCTGGGCATCATTGATGTCCCAGAAATCATCACAGACCGTGCCCCAGGAACCAGCGTAGAGGACCTCCACTCGGCCTTGACATGAGCTTCCTCCTCCAACCAGGCGAATGGCTGTCTCTGTGGATTAAATAAATGTACACTTAATTAATAGGCAAGCTTCACTATATACCATTGTAAGATTGTTATGTTTATTCTTTCCTAACTTTGATGATTTGAAAGTCAACCTTTTTAAAATGTGTTTTTGTTTTGCATGTTACGTAGACCTCCATTTACAACCATCTTTTGATTTGAAAAATGCATGAATTTGCATCGCCATTTATTGACAAATATATACTCACCAGGAGCTTGAGTTGTTGGCTGCCTTGTCGTGGTTGATGCACTTGTTTGAGCTGTAACCAATTAAGATTTCTCACTTTAAAAGTTGTATTTAATTTATCAACAAGGTAAAAAAACTGAATGAACATTTTGTAATTCATATAATATACAGCAAAACATTACCATTTAATATTAGAAAAAATAACATTTGGAACTTTTATTAAAATATATTTTGAGAAGTACACACCGCTGCAAATGACACTAGCATCTTCACTGTGGCTACAGTCATGCTGTCCCCATGGGCGATGAGAACATGGTCCCAGAAAGGGTTCAGAACCATTGCATCTGACATCATCCAGCCAGATGGTGCCATTGCCCAGACCAAAGAAGGCATTTGATGGGGCAGAAAGAGGAGCTCCACAGCCGACCATGCGACAGACAACCTGGGCATCATTGATGTCCCAGAAATCATCACAGACCGTGCCCCAGGAACCAGCATAGAGGACCTCCACTCTGCCTTGACATGAGCTTCCTCCTCCAACCAGGCGAATCGCTGATTCTAGAGAGACAGTGATAGTAGAAAATCAATATATCACACATGCTACCATTTGGAACCAAACTTTCATTGCACGACGTATCAATTTTACATCAATTCAAAAGTCTAAACTCACCCATTGGTTGAGATGTCGGCTGCCTTGTAGTGGGTGATGAGCTTGTTTGAGCTGTAACCAATAAAGTGAATGTTAAAATGTGTTTCCTTCATCTGAGGTTAAGAAAATCCAAATCAAATTTATACCACCTTTATGGGGAGAATTTAAGTTAGTTTTCTCTCTCTCTCTCTGTCTCTGTGTTGTCTCTCTCTGCTTGTGTGTCTGTCTATGTGTCTCCGTGTTGTGTCTTGTCTCTCTCTCTCAAATTTCACACTTCCAAATTAGCACTCTTTGGAAGAACGTAATCAACCAGGTAGGGCGTTGACTATTATGTTAGCCGACTCTCTGTGTTGTATTGCATTATATTTCTAAGTTTATTAGGTTTGTTTTTTCTCATTCATTCGTACCTGATGATGATTGCTTGTGTTACAATCTAAACGTCGAATTATATTATTTAATTTATTTTCTTTCACCTGACTTTACCGAAATAACCAAAAAGTAATGCTATTCATATATACAGTACTATATTTAATAAAGTCTGTCATCGTAATGTTACCTTTATATATTAGACGCATTTTAGCACATAAAGCGTTAAACAAACATATTTTGAGAAGTACACACCACTGCAAATGACACCAGCATCTTCACCATGAACACAGTTGTGTTGCCCCCATGGCAGGTGAGGACAATTTCCTAAAGAGGACTCCGACCCATTGCATGTCACATCATCCATCCAGATGGTGCCATTGCCCTGACCAAAGTAGGCATTTGATTGGGCAGAAAGAGCAGTTCCACAGCCAAGCTTTCGGCAGACGACCTGGGCATCATTGATGTTCCAGCCATCATCACAGACCGTGCCCCAGGACCCAGAATAGAGGACCTCCACTCTGCCTTGACATGGGCCTACTCCTCCAACCAGACGAATGGCTGTCTCTGTGGATTAAAGAAATGTACACTGAATAAATTGCCAAGCTTCACTATATACCATTGTGAAATTCTTATGTTTATTCTTTCCTAACTTTGATGATTTGAAAGTCAACCTTTAAAATGTGTTTTTGTTATGCATGTTACATCGACCTCCATTTACAACCATCTTTTGATTTGAAAAATGTATTAATTTGTATCGCCATTTATTGACAAATTTATACTCACCAGGGGCTTGAGTTGTTGGCTGCCTTGTCGTTGTTGATGCACTTGTTTGAGCTGTAACCAATTAAGATTTCTCACTTTAAAAGTAGTATTTAATTTACCGACAAACGTAAAAAAAACTGAATTAACATTTTGTCATCAATATAATATACAGCAAATCATTATCATTTAATATTAGAAAAATAACATTTGGAACTTTTATTAAAATATATTTTGAGAAGTACACACCGCTGCAAAGGACGCTAGCATCTTCACTGTGGCTACAGTCATGTTGTCCCCATGGGCGATGAGAGCATGGTCCCAGAAAGGATTCAGAACCATTGCATCTGACGTCATCCAGCCAGATGGTGCCATTGCCCTGACCAAAGTGGGCATTTGATGGGGCAGAAAGAGCAACTCCACAACCAACCATGCGACAGACAACCTGGGCATCATTGATGTCCCATAAATCATCACAGACCGTGCCCCAGGAACCAGCATAGAGGACCTCCACTCTGCCTTGACATGAGCTTCCTCCTCCAACCAGGCGAATCGCTGATTCTAGAGAGACAGTGATAGTAGAAAATCAATATATCACACATGCTACCATTTGGAACCAAACTTTCATTGCAGGACGTATCAATTTTACATCAATTCAAAAGTCTAAACTCACCCATTGGTTGAGATGTCGGCTGCCTTGTAGTGGGTGATGAGCTTGTTTGAGCTGTAACCAATAAAGTGAATGTTAAAATGTGTTTTTCATTTTCTGAGATATGGCCAATGAAATTCATATATACAGTACTATTTATAATAAACTAGTCATTGTAATATGACCTTTTTATATTGGAAACATATTAGCACTTAAAGTTTTAACGAAACATATTTCGAGATGTACACACCACTGCAAATGACACCAGCATCTTCACCATGACCACAGTTGTGTTGCCCCCATGGCAGATGAGGACAATTTCCTAAAGAGGACTCCAACCCATTGCATGTCACATCATCCAGCCAGATGGTGCCAATGCCCTGACCAAAGTAGGCATTTGATGGGGCAGAAAGAGCAGCTCCACAGCCGACCATGCGACAGACAACCTGGGCATCATTGATGTCCCAGAAATCATCACAGACCGTGCCCCAGGAACCAGCATAGAGGACCTCCACTCTGCCTTGACATGAGCTTCCTCCTCCAACCAGGCGAATCGCTGATTCTAGAGAGACAGTGATAGTAGAAAATCAATATATCACACATGCTACCATTTGGAACCAAACTTTCATTGCAGGACGTATCAATTTTACATCAATTCAAAAGTCTAAACTCACCCATTGGTTGAGATGTCGGCTGCCTTGTAGTGGGTGATGAGCTTGTTTGAGCTGTAACCAATAAAGTGAATGTTAAAATGTGTTTTTCATTTTCTGAGATATGGCCAATGAAATGCATATATACAGTACTATTTATAATAAACTAGTCATTGTAATATGACCTTTTTATATTGGAAACATATTAGCACTTAAAGTTTTAACGAAACATATTTCGAGATGTACACACCACTGCAAATGACACCAGCATCTTCACCATGACCACAGTTGTGTTGCCCCCATGGCAGATGAGGACAATTTCCTAAAGAGGACTCCAACCCATTGCATGTCACATCATCCAGCCAGATGGTGCCAATGCCCTGACCAAAGTAGGCATTTGATGGGGCAGAAAGAGCAGCTCCACAGCCGACCATGCGACAGACAACCTGGGCATCATTGATGTCCCAGAAATCATCACAGACCGTGCCCCAGGAACCAGCATAGAGGACCTCCACTCTGCCTTGACATGAGCTTCCTCCTCCAACCAGGCGAATGGCTGATTCTGGAGAGAAAGTGTGAAATGCATTAAAATAATTGTCACCTCAATACACTCATTAATAATATGTTAATATACTTATTAAAAATGTAGTAGTTTGGTTCTCACATCACATGTATTTAATATACAAATACAGGAATTCCTTGCCCATCGCGTTTTGATAAAAATGTGCGTTATTCTGAAATACACGGTTTACCAAATGAGGTATGTTTTTCGGACCACAATGTTGGGGTTTCATCTATTCTCATCTTCGTGTTGACAAGTAATACTGTGAGAGTGCTGAATCTGTTGAAAGGTGTGAATTGGACTGAGAACGATTCATTTACAACGTATACAGTGTATACTTTTTATGTTTTCGTGTGATAATGTAACACTCAACACGCATAATGGCACAATGCAAATGTTCACACATTGCATCGAGCTGCTCCTTCGTAGAAGACGTTAGTTATTCAGACAACTAGGTGGTGAATCATGAACGTTCAAGTGACAATATTAGGGGCGATCTTTGAGCTGGGAATTCAGTGCTAGGGAGTGGGTAGAGTAATGGAGAGGAATTTTGTGTTGAGGTGTGATTGAAAAATAATGAGTGTACCCACACAAAAAATAGAGACTCGGTATCTTTTTTCAAGGGCGGAAATCATATAGAATTAGTTAAAGAAGGAGCGGGTGGTCATTTAAAACTCAGTAACACAAACCAAATGTTCCCATAAGGTTTATTATTTATCGAGCACTGTTTTTCCCAACACGTAACTCTGAGCAAGTTCTGACTGGACAATGTCATGATTTAGTGTCATTAATCATTACGCTGTCTTTATTGATTTTTATAATGTTGAGGTTTTGTGCAAAACTAGTTACAAATATTGATTTAAAGCTTTCGTGACTGCAGTGATTCATATTCTTGGTTCTTTCGAATAGAATGCGGTGACTTTCCAACCGCGGTGACTTTTAGACCACATTCCATTCTCTTCTCCCCCCTCCTCTTTTCCGAACATAGATGGACTCGTCCATCTGACCAACTGGCAAATCGCTGTTCATGGTGCTGACGTTAGAAAAAAAACCGCCACTTTTTTCAAATGTTTCACACCTGATGATGATTGCTTGTGTTGCAATCGAAACGTCGTGATAATTTAATTGTTTTATTTTCATTATTTTATTATTTCCCTTCTACGTGACTTTACCGAAAGACCCAAGGAATATGAATCCCTGCAGTCACGAAAGCTTTAAATCGAAATTTAAGTCATACACTATTTAACTGCATGCCTTTACAGCTCACCATACGCCGGTGGTGATTAACTGTGAGCAAAAAATCTTGACTTAAAGCTTTCGTGACTGCAGGAATTCATATTCTTTTGGTCTTTCGGTAAAGTCACGTAGATAGGTTGAAAGAAAACTAAAAACTACGACGTTTTGATCACAACACAAGCCAACAGGTATTGCGATTTTTTGCACCCAAAAACGGCCGGATGTGCATGCATTGTGTGCATGTGCATCACGCATGCCCGTCATGCATGCAAATTATTATGGTGATTAACTGTGCATAACCCAACCAATAATAGAGATCCATTGCAATTTAAAGGATTACATTAACCCTCTCCCTTCTTTTCTTTGCACCCGATTGGCTCACAAGTGACAACATCACATGTATCCTTCTATTTAAGCGAAAAAGAGGATGCATCCGCAACTCTGGCTGTCGCCTGATGAGACTGGTTGTAATTACCAACGGAATTTTGTACTCGAATGGTAAATGTTGTGGGTTTACTCTTCAACACCGGTGTGCTGAACTAGTAACACATCCTTGGTTTTTTCCCTTCTACGTGACTTTACCGAAAGAACCAAGAATATGAATCCCTGCAGTCACGAAAGTTTTAAATCAAAATAGTAACACATCGTTTTGTTTTTGCAACAAGCCTTACGAATTGTCTGTGTAAGGTGGAGGTGGGTGTAACAAAACATTTATAATAATTGGTTCTTTACCCTTCTATCTGGCAACAAAACTGACACCTTTTTGCAAGGAGTCATGTTTGCATAGACCGCAATACCTGCAGTCATAAATACAAACAAAAGACATAACTCTGATAATGTGCACTGTCCTTGAAGTTGATTGGTCCACACCCGAGACAGCTTTCCTTCGAGCCTAGTCTCATATGGGTTGGACCAGATGACGCCAAAAGGCGCACAACTCAAGGACAATGCACCATCAGAGTATGAGAGCTCGGGGCAAGCATCTACACTATGGGGACCTCATTTGCCAGTAAAAATATGATAATTGGTTCTTTACCCTTCTATCTGGCAACAAAACTGACACCTTTTTGCAAGGAGTCATGTTTGCATAGACCGCAATACCTGCAGTCATAAATACAAACAAAAGACATAACTCTGATAATGTGCACTGTCCTTGAAGTTGATTGGTCCACACCCGAGACAGCTTTCCTTCGAGCCTAGTCTCATATGGGTTGGACCAGATGACGCCAAAAGGCGCACAACTCAAGGACAATGCACCATCAGAGTATGAGAGCTCGGGGCAAGCATCTACACTATGGGGACCTCATTTGCCAGTAAAAATATGATAATTGGTTCTTTACCCTTCTATCTGGCAACAAAACTGACACCTTTTTGCAAGGAGTCATGTTTGCATAGACCGCAATACCTGCAGTCATAAATACAAACAAAAGACATAACTCTGATAATGTGCACTGTCCTTGAAGTTGATTGGTCCACACCCGAGACAGCTTTCCTTCGAGCCTAGTCTCATATGGGTTGGACCAGATGACGCCAAAAGGCGCACAACTCAAGGACAATGCACCATCAGAGTATGAGAGCTCGGGGCAAGCATCTACACTATGGGGACCTCATTTGCCAGTAAAAATATGATAATTGGTTCTTTACCCTTCTATCTGGCATAGAACCAATTATCATATTTTTACTGGCAAATGAGGTCCCCATAGTGTAGATGCTTGCCCCGAGCTCTCATACTCTGATGGTGCATTGTCTTTGAGTTGTGCGCCTTTTGGCGTCATCTGGTCCAACCCATATGAGACTAGGCTCGAAGGAAAGCTGTCTCGGGTGTGGACCAATCAACTTCAAGGACAGTGCGCATTATCAGAGTTATGTCTTTTGTTTGTATTTATGACTGCAGGTATTGCGGTCTATGCAAACATGACTCCTTGCAAAAAGGTGTCAGTTTTGTTGCCAGATAAAAGGGTAAAGAACCAATTATCATATTTTTACTGGCAAATGAGGTCCCCATAGTGAAAACATTTATAGTTATATAATCTAACCGGAAAACCTATACAATGTATACTTTTATGAGGTATAGAGTTGTTTATTCATATTTGAGAAAGGGTCATGTAAGGACACCTTGAACAAATAATGAATCAACGACAGCTGGTGCATAGCCATGCGCAGGAAAGCACGGGATTGGTTGAAGACTTGGAGAATGCGATTTGGTAGGAAAGAGAAAATAGGGAGGGGAGAGTGAGAGACGGAGAAGGGACATGATTGGTGGAAAAGAGATGGAGAAGATTAGAAGAACCTTCCAGAATGTTCCAAAAAGATCGAGGAGTTTATACAAAGGGGGTGAGCTTATACAAGAGTATGCATTGTGCTGCACGCAACAACACAGTTACCAAGGATGACTCGTCTGTAACTGAGTTGTACATTGATACAATCTGAATCATCTTTAATATGTATTATGCATAGGTTTAAATTACATGCATATCCCTGCAAATTACAAGCATCTTGTATGCATGTATGTTGAACTTCTTTTCGCACCGTACGTAGCCAACCGTGCTAATCAAAGGCGCGGGGGAAGGAAAACAAACTAAACACAAACATCTGTTCTAAAGAAATACTTTTCAATCTGTTGTCTAAGTGCATGTCAATATCTGATACGAGCATGAATCTAAGGGGAAACAGTTGTATTGCTTTATTGTAATTTATGTGGTGGATTGCTTTTACATGGTTTTATGAATTCTATATTTGTATCATAAAGGCATTGATTTGTGATAACTTATATTCTATGGTTCTTTCGGTAAAGTCACGTAGATAGAAAAAATAATTATAAAATAATAAAAATAAAGTGAATAAAAATATCACGACGTTTCGATTGCAACACAAGCGATCGTCATCAGGAATAGAGAGGTTAGCCTGTGAGGGCAAGCTGCTTATAAAGGTTTAGAGATGGGCGGGGCAGCTAATGATAATGTTGAAGAAAGCTTTTACACCGGCATTAGGTCTACACCAATCAAAGCATTGCACCTCGCTCCACACACCCACACTGCTGACGGTGGAGGTTGACAAGAAAACACAAATCAAGTCATGACCCAAAGTGGTTGATGACATCTTTCCAATGATTGCTCAGTCTATAACCTTCCTCTCGGTTGAAATTGTCTCTGTGTCTGTATATATGTATGGATTCATGAACAGATCTTTGAATCTTTGTTGATAGCCAGTAGGCTTGTGATAACTTGTCCCGTGAAATCGAACATCCTTATGAGTGCTGTATAGAGCGTGAATTGCACATTATTTCAGAGTGGTGGGATTGTATAATCATACCTTGCTGAGCCGTCACAGCCTGGATCGTGAGGACGAGGAGCAAAATGACACCAGACAACATCATGCCCTGGTTTAACTCGCACCTTGGTTTAAACAAAGACAAAGACCCCCACTGTTGGGGCAAGCACTGTTACAGAGCACCTATGAAATTTGACACGGCACAATAGAGGGTTGATCTTCTTGGTTCTTTCGGTAAAGTCACGTAGTAGGGAAGTAATAAAATAATAAAAATAAAACATAATAAAACAATTCTCACGACGTTTCGGCCACAACGCAAGCAGCCGTCCTCAGGTGAAGAACATGTCTGTCGATAAGACAGAGTCTGAATGACACGTCTTAGGCTTGGAGTGTCTATTTAAGCTGGGAGGGAGGAGGAAGAGCGCCTTGACAAAATAATTTGCATATGAAGAGGAATTTAGAATATTTATGGAAAATGCGGGAATGCGAATAGT